TGAGGTAATTAATTATATTAATAATTTCCAAATACTGAACCACCCTTGCACTACAATAATATATCCTATTTGCTATTCTAACACACTCTTATATAAATTCAGTTTACACAATTTGTAGCTTTTAATGTAATTCTGCCTTCTCAAAAACATGTCTAGACTGATTCTTATTAAGTATGTTCCAGAAATATGAAGTTATTCTCTTTTTATGTTGTGTCCTATGTGAAAAATGAGGTTGTTTTTCACAAATGTATGTGCTACGCTAAAACAAATTGCTGAGATTTACTTAAAAAAGCAACTATTAACACTAATCTTATTCTGTTGATTTATTTTTTTAAATGATAAATGCTCTTATTTGGTTCTAAAGATAACGTTTTTCCTGGTCTGAAAGTAAACGTGTGTCACTAATGATAATTTAGAGCTAACATTACAGTGAAGTACTGGCAAGTCAAAAAGGAAAACAGAAAGACTATGAAAGAATCCAGGGAAATCACAGAAAGCAGTAGGAGAGGCGTGTGTCGTAAGGACACTTCGCTCTCCTCCAGGCCCTAACTACGGAGACGGAAGAGAGAATCCCATTTCCGGCAGTGTGTAAGCTGTCCTTGCTTCCGTCTGCTCTAACAGGTAACTGCACTGACTGCAGCAATGTGCACAAACCACTACCTACATACCACCCTGGAGGAAAGAAGTTAGGAGTCATGTTTGCAACAGCTCGTCGACTCTTGAAACTGTTTGCAAATGTAGAATGACTAACAATGTAGGAGTCTGCAATTGAAAAATCAAACATATTAACCAGCAAAACACCTCCCCACTTTGTTTTGGTTTTTTTTCCGTAAAAATGTTTTCTGCCAGCCCTGTGAGTCCAGGTGACGCACAATGTCCCAGCAGTTTCAGGTGTACTACAGCTCTGTTAGGCTGCACCTGCCACAAGCAGAGCTACCACCTGTCACCACACAATTCTACTGCAGGATCACTATCATCTTTATGCTGTACCTTTTCTTCCCATTTACTTATCCCAGAACCAGCACCTGTGTGCCCCACGCCTCCTCGCCAATCCGGCACCCGTCCCAGGCAACCACCCGTTTTTCTCTGGGCTCTGTGATTTGAATGTTTTTAGGAACTATCATCTGTTAGACTCACTGATGGCTAAAATAAAGCCTATGTAAAATACTTTGTGAGAGGCGCCTGGGTGGCTCAGTGGGTTAAGTGCCTGACTTCAGCTCAGGTAATGATCTCACGGTTTGTGGGTTCGAACCCTACGTCGGGCTCTGTGCTGACAGCTCAGAGCCCGGAGCCTGTTTCAGATTCTGTGTCTCCCTCTCTCTCTGACCCTCCCTTGCTCATGCTCTCTCTCGCTCTCTCTCTCTCTCTCAGAAATAAAGCATTAAAAAAGAATTTAAAAATAAATAAAAATACTTTGTGAAATTATTACCAAGTATTTGAACAAGACATCATTTTGTTAAGTAAATGGTTTTTAATTCTAAACTATACCAGATGTAAATGCGTATAATAATCACAAGGAATAATCTTTTTTTTTTTTTTTTAATGTTTTATTTATTTCTAGGAGAGAGAGAGACAGCGTGAGCAGGGGAGGGTCAGAGAGAGAGGGAGTCACAGACTGAAACAGGCTCCAGGCTCTGAGCTGGCAGTCAGCACAGAGCCTGACGCGGGGCCCGAACCCACGAACCGCGAGATCATGACCTAAGCGAAAGTCGGACGCTTAACCGACTAAGCCACCCAGGCGCCCCAGGAATAATCATTTTTATCTCACCACTGCAAGTTGTGTCCTTGAAGCAACAGTGTGAAAAACCGCAGGCATCATAAGAGATTCTTCGACTTTTATTTCCATGTCATTTTCTGTCGAAAAGGTAGTTTTTGGAATAGCGGGTGGACGATCACATAAGATCATTTCTTTGTTAAAGAGAAAAATTGGATTTGTGTCCTGTAGCAAGAAAAAAGCAAAAACAAACTGAAGTAAAACACTACAAGATATCGAACATGCACATTGCCCTCAATATAAGAGGCGGAGATGCCTTACTCTCTCAAGTGCTGCGACCCTGGTCCCCAATGACCCGAGCCGGAGCGCGTGTGTGGAAGGGCTCCCGGCGCGTGCCACCTTCCTGTGACCCGAGTCGAAGAGGGTGTAGAAGGGCTCCCGGCACGTACCGTCCCGGCGCTGTAGGTGCACACTCTCCGGTCTGCGGCCATGCACTCCCCTCCATTGACCACCAGCACCTGGTGCTGAATGGCAATCTTGTATTTGCTATGAATGGCATGCTTGAGGTCGGCCACACTGTGGGGGGTAGGATATTAGTTACTTACATTTCCCAATGACAAACTTTTTTGTTCTCAAAGTGGCACTGTGTAAAAATACTTGATAGATACTAATTAACTTCACTCTAAAAACTTTGCCCAAACAGTAGTAGAAAATATAAACTCCTTGTTTCTGGAATTAGATTCCATAATCTGGCTGATCTCTTAGGTGAATAAATCAACCATGTGGTACATCTAAAAGTGAGTCTATAAAATACAGGCAGTAGCCATATTTATTTCTGTGCTCTTTATATAACATAGCAAAGGAATATGCTCAAATTAGCATCAGGTCTGTTAAAATTCTCAGAGCACAGATGTCTGTTAAAATCCCCACATCACATTACACAAACTACATTAACTATAAATCAAGAAATTGCTTCCTTTCCCTATCTTTCAGAAAATCATTGCTTTACAGATACAATCATATTTTTTAAAAACTAGAACTTTAAAAAAAGAAAACAAGTTCAAGTTCCACTTTTAACTAAGAATATTAATTCCACAAAGTATTCATAATATTTTCAGTGCTATATTTATTTATTCTGTACTGCTATCGAGTCTTTGCTATTAGGGCCAAAATATAAGCAGGAATAGTTGTTACTATTTCTTCTCTTGCTGTTTGGCCCCAAAAAATGTATCGTCGCTGCCCCTGACATCTCTCCCCACCTTTCACAAATATAGGAGGGCATGCATTAGTCAAGTATCTGAATTCCCTGCAAAGTTGGAGAATTATCAGATGTATGAGGCTTACTCAATTGGTTAAAGATATTAAACTGATTTTATTCTCACACCAACAAACAAAACAAATATTACTGACTTTATTCATACAAAGGAATAAAAATCAATCACTAAAATCCTTGGGACTAACACATTTTGCTTTATATGGCTAGCAATAATTTCCTCAGCAATGTGCTAGGAAACTCAGAAGAGTAATCAATTATGAAAACTTCTATTTGATAGTTTTATTTTTAAATCAGTCTGTTTGTTTGTGGGTAAGTCTGTTTATTATGAATAATCTACTCACATAAATGGAACAAAGCATAGTTTTATGAATTTGACTTTAGCACGTTAGTAAAGGATGACAATTATATACGTAATATGCTGAGATAAAAGATTTAAGATATTGCTACTCTTATTTAAAAAAGTTTTCTCCAAATCATATACTTTAATGTCTTGCATACAGAAAATGCAAAAAGTGATGAGATTAAACGAAACACAGCTTACGTTTGCACTGTTAGTTCAGTATCAAATGTCAGGGTAGTTCCAGTGTTAACCAGAAACACATATAACTTCATGATGATTTCTCTGGATTCTGTGAGCTTATACCTCAAACTCTGATCTGGTTACTAACAGACAAAAACAAGAAACGTGGTCAGTTTTACAAACGGAACAACATATGCAAACATCCTCCCATAACACATGCTGTAGTTCTACATAAATAACAACAAAGTTTCTGGTGTCTAAGGTGGTTAACCAGACAATTCGGCACACTTGTTGCTTGAAAAATAAACAGTAGTGAAACCAGTAAAAACCGTAATTGTTCTACATTTTAAAAATTTGTTTTAAGGAAGAGATCAGCAATTAGAACAAAAATTATCTGTACATTTCCCATTGTTCTCATGTACTTAATATTAAGAACTAAAATTAAAAACTTGATTAAAGATCTTCCTAACTCAAAAAGTTCTTCCCCGATTGGTTGATTTCTTGTAACAATTAAAAAATAGTCTTAAGGTTAAACTTCCAACTCCTTCCGCTGGCTGTCTCTTATCTAAATTCCACCTCCCACTGAGTTAGGATCGCTCCACAGGAAACAGTGGCCCTAACAGTTCTCTCATCTCATTGAACAGTGGAAAGGGCACAGGTCTGGAGAACAGAATATGTGAAACAACCCTGCTCCCATTAACAAGTTGTCCAAGTCAAAACCTCATGTAAAATATGAACTTCCTCATTTATAAGAAGGGACATATTTCAAGAGCTAGTATTTTATTTTTAACATTTAGAGTAAAATTACATATAATTAATGAAATTGAGGAAAGACAATAAATTCCTAGACTCGAATATATCTTCTTTATGCTCTTTTGGAGTAAAATCAGGAAGAAGGAAAAAACGAATACAGTTTAAAAATCAATGTTTCTAAAATCATTATTTTCAATGCATTAGATACAAAACAGTTTTGAGTTTAGGAACTGTGACTTACCGTCAGGCACTATGAAGAGGACTACCACTTTTCTTAAAAAGCAGGTTGAAACTGGCTTATGTTTGCTTTCCTTGGTATTGGCAACTGAATGGCATTACTGGTGAACTGGAGAAGAAAAATTTCTGGATTACCATAGAGAGAAATAACTCCGTATATGACAGCATATGGTTATTGTTCTCTTCCTTGAAAAATTCCCCTCTGAAAGAGTATTTTCTACTCAATCTGTCTTCCTATCTGCACATTCATCGAAGCCACAAGAGTAGAAATAACTCTAACCCATAGTCCTCCATTAAAAGACATAAAACAGAAGTCTCTGAAGAACTCTCCCAAACCATCAAATTCCACAGCCATTTCTTAGTTCTTAAAATGCAATGGTTAAAAAAGAGCCCAGTTGTGGAGTCAGACTGCCGCAGGTTTTGTTTTTGGCCCTAATACTTGTGTGTGATCTTGGGCAACTTTAACGGTGTGGATTTATTCTTTTGTAAAACAAATAAAAATGGGACCTGCAGCAGGCAGCCTCTATAATACCCCTCCACCTCCAGGTGTCCACACTAGAGTGAGAGCCCCGCCTCTACCGGGCCCTCGCTCCAGTGAGAGCCCCGCCTCTACCGGGCCCTCCCTCCATGAGAGCCCCGCCTCTACCGGGCCCTCCCTCCATGAGAGCCCCGCCTCTACCGGGCCCTCCCTCCATGAGAGCCCCGCCTCTACCGGGCCCTCCCTCCATGAGAGCCCCGCCTCTACCGGGCCCTCCCTCCATGAGAGCCCCGCCTCTACCGGGCCCTCCCTCCATGAGAGCCCCGCCTCTACCGGGCCCTCCCTCCATGAGAGCCCCGCCTCTACCGGGCCCTCCCTCCATGAGAGCCCCGCCTCTACCGGGCCCTCCCTCCATGAGAGCCCCGCCTCTACCGGGCCCTCCCTCCATGAGAGCCCCGCCTCTACCGGGCCCTCCCTCCATGAGAGCCCCGCCTCTACCGGGCCCTCCCTCCATGAGAGCCCCGCCTCTACCGGGCCCTCCCTCCATGAGAGCCCCGCCTCTACCGGGCCCTCCCTCCATGAGAGCCCCGCCTCTACCGGGCCCTCCCTCCATGAGAGCCCCGCCTCTACCGGGCCCTCCCTCCATGAGAGCCCCGCCTCTACCGGGCCCTCCCTCCATGAGAGCCCCGCCTCTACCGGGCCCTCCCTCCATGAGAGCCCCGCCTCTACCGGGCCCTCCCTCCATGAGAGCCCCGCCTCTACCGGGCCCTCCCTCCATGAGAGCCCCGCCTCTACCGGGCCCTCCCTCCATGAGAGCCCCGCCTCTACCGGGCCCTCCCTCCATGAGAGCCCCGCCTCTACCGGGCCCTCCCTCCATGAGAGCCCCGCCTCTACCGGGCCCTCCCTCCATGAGAGCCCCGCCTCTACCGGGCCCTCCCTCCATGAGAGCCCCGCCTCTACCGGGCCCTCCCTCCATGAGAGCCCCGCCTCTACCGGGCCCTCCCTCCATGAGAGCCCCGCCTCTACCGGGCCCTCCCTCCATGAGAGCCCCGCCTCTACCGGGCCCTCCCTCCATGAGAGCCCCGCCTCTACCGGGCCCTCCCTCCATGAGAGCCCCGCCTCTACCGGGCCCTCGCTCCAGTGAGAGCCCCGCCTCTACCGGGCCCTCCCTCCATGAGAGCCCCGCCTCTACCGGGCCCTCCCTCCATGAGAGCCCCGCCTCTACCGGGCCCTCCCTCCAGTGAGAGCCCCGCCTCTACCGGGCCCTCGCTCCAGTGAGAGCCCCGCCTCTACCGGTCCCCGGCCCTCGCTCCAGTGAGAGCCCCAGCTTTACTGGGCGTGGGCAGGGTCCATGATCTGTGTCTAAGCGATGAAATTTGGCAAGGTTAATGAAATGTCACATGATGGCTACTCAAGATTAGAACTTGCCGGTGCCACCTGACCCTTCCCTTGCCGGCTATGATGAAGTCATGAGCCGCCACAGAGAGGCTCCTGTGGCGAGAAACTGAAGTTAGCCTTGGCAAGTAGCTGAGGGCCTCGCTCTGACAAGCTGCAAGGAATTGACTGTTGACAACAGCCACTGAGCTTGGAAGCAGGACCCCTCGGTGGCCAATCTCAGACAAGACCCTGGGCGTGGCAGTCACCTTCACTGCAATCTTCTGAGACACTCGATACAGGGGATCCAGATGACTTCTGCCCAGAAAATGTGAACGAAAACATTTCTCATACTCAGCAAAAGATAGTAAGTACAGTACCCCACGTTACAGGGAACTAGGAGAATTAAGGGAGAAAAGTACAGATTTGCACAGCACTCAGCAGGGAGCCAGAGTTCAATTAACGACCCTGGTACCCGTCTTGGGTTCCTTCTGCCCTGCCAACTCTCCAGTGTCTCGGTGGGACCTCACCGCCACCCCCAAATCCAAGACTACACTCTATCTTACAGGCTGAAAGGAGCTGTCTTGTTTTCTAAAGGATTAGATAGCTAAAAGTATGGTAACTAAAATGGAAGGAACATCGGTACAAGAGATCATTCATTCATTCATTCATTCATCCCCACACAGAACACTTAATTGAGTTTATGTATTCTGTGAACAAAACAGACAAGTCTTTCCTCTGATGGGGATCACAATCTTGAAGGAGAAAAAGAAATCAAACAAAAAGAAAGCAAACATAAGTTACAATAAATGCAGTGAAAGAGGAGTGGGTAGCAAGAAGGGCCTACTTGAAAATCCAAGTAGAGCTCTATGTAGGTTACATTTAAAGGGGGTAATGGGAAGGAGATGAAGATGGCCTGCAAAGGTGGGGTAAGCACTACAAGATGACACAACATTTGTGAGCCTAAACATAAAATCTTTATGATAATCACTACATTATTCTACGTTTTTTTACTTTGGTTTCCTTTTAAATATTGTTTACCTTTGTTTTGGTAGAACTTCCCACTTAGTGAAAAGTTACAAAAATAGTGCAAAAATCTCCCTTTTACCCTCAACTCAGTGTTACCAACCAGGTACACTGGGCTCCATTTGCTTTATCATTTGGGCCACTTAATGCTTGCTCCATGCATGCTCCTCTGCACACACACACACAAATACATATATTTATATAAATATATAAATACGTTCACATAAAATGTATTGTTCTGATCTAGGAGTAATCTGCAGACAGAATGTCTCATTATTCATACATATTTCAGCAAGAATTTTCTCACACATGACCAAAGTGCACTCATCACATCATGAAAGTTAACATAGATGCCATATTCTTATCTAATCCACATTTCATGCTCAAATTATTGCCCCAATAAAACCCGTTACAGTCTTCCTCCCTCAATCTAGGATCCAATTCAGAATAATATATTGTATTCAACTGTTAAATCTGTTTAATCTCCTTCAATCTGGAACACTTCATCAATCTTTATTTTCATGATCTAGGTATAATGCTGCCCACAATTCAGAGGCTTTAGGAATTACTGTAAAGATGTCCTCAGGGTCATTCCCCTCTTCCATAATCCTTCCTGTAAATAAGGGAAACTCTGATAAATGTAGCAGCTACTGTGTGCTTTCAAAGAAACACCAATCCCTTCACCTGGTGCTTGCCCTAAGAAACAGCTCAACCTAAAAAATCACAATCATTAACAATGCTTACAAAAACAGCTACACAGAGCTTCTATGATAATCAGTCTATATGTATAATTCATAAATAATGTAAAATGATTTCAAGAATGTCAAGGATAGTTTTGATTGCTGTGGCTCTAGACTTAGGCTATACTTTGGCCCCACTGTACAGGCATACTTGATACTACTATTTGTCATGTAGCTCAGTTCTAACAGCTCCTAAGTGATGGTAATGACAGCATCATTTTGAGAAGCACCTCCTGAGCTACCAGATACAACATCCAATGTTTTCCTCCCTTAGCTATTATTTAAAGCCCTCGAACGGGCGACTTTAACTAGAGGCCTCCTCCTGAGTCTTCACTCTAAATCCTCATTTATTGTCTACTACCACCCAGGACGTATGCTAGAAAGCATAACAGAAAAATCTAAGTAGTAAAATGAATCATAACTGCTCCATGGGTCTTACTACCCCAGTGTTCTTTGAATAAATGTCAGATTAATGGTAATCCCAAATTTTGTATGGAACCACAAAACACCCCAAATAGCCAAAGCAATTCTGAACAAAAAAAAAAAAAAAAAAAATCAAAACTGGAGATACCACAATCCCAGATTTCAAGATATGCTACAATGCTGTAGTAATCCAAACAGTATGGTACTAGTACAAAAACTCACACGTAGATCAACAGAACAGAGAGCTCAGAAATATACCCACAATTATACGAGTAATTAATCTTCGACAAAGGAGGCAAGAATATGCAATGGAAAAAAGACAGTCTCTTCAACAAATGCTGTTGGGAAGACTGGGCAGTTACATGCAGAAGAATGAAACTGGACCACTTTCTCATACCATACACATAAACAAAACTCCAAACGGATTAATGCCCCAACGTGAGACTTGAAACCTTAAAAATCCTAGAAGTGAGCACAGGCAGCAATCTGACATCAACTATAGCAACTTACTTCTAGATATGTCTCCTGAGGCAAGGGAAATAAAGCAAAAATAAACTATTGGGACTACATCAAAATAAAAAGCGTGCGGCAACAGAAATAATCAACAAAACTAAGACAATCTACTGAATGGGACAAGATATTTGTGAATGATGTATGTGATAAGTGGCAAATATCCAAAATACATAAAGAACTTCTCAACACCAAAAAACTCCAAATAATCCAATTTTTTTAAAAAAAGAAGACATAAACAGATATTTCTCCAGACAAACAAGACAGCCAACAGATACATGAAAAGACACTCAATATCATTCATCATCAGGGAAATACAAATCAAAACCACAATGAGATACTACCTCATACCTGTCAAACTGTTACCATAGTTGTCATGGCTAAAATCAACAACACAGGAAACAACAGGTGCTGGCAAGTATGTGGAGAAAAAGGAATCCTCTTACACTGTCGGTGGGAATGCAAACTAGCACAGCCACTGTGGAAAACAACATGGAGGCTTCTCACAAAATTAAAAATAGAACTACCAAATGATCTAGTAATTCCACTACTGGGTATTTAACCAAAGAATACAAAACACTAAAAAAGATAAGTGCACCCTTATGTTTACTGCAGCATTATTTACAATAGCCAAGTTATGAAAGCACCCCAAGTACCCAGTGACAGATGAATGGATAAAGATGTATACACACACACACATACACACACACACACACTCCATTACTCAGTAATAAAAGAGTGAAAGCCTGCCATTTGCAACAACACAGACAGATCTAGAAGGTATCTTTATAAGTGATATAAGTCATTCGGAGAAAAACAAATACCGTATGATCTCACTCATATATGGAATATAAGAAACAAAACAACTGAACAAAGAAAAAGAAAGAAACCCAAAAGTAGACTTTTTATGAGAAGAAATTGATGGTTACCAGAGGGGAGGTGGGCACAGGGAGGGGTGAAATAAACAGGTAAAGGACGGAGTACCCTTATGATGAGCACTGAGTGTGCAGAACTGCTGAATTACCGTATTATACACCTGAAACTAATATAACACTCTATGTCAGGTAAACTGAAATAAAAATTAAAAAACAAAAAACAAAACCAGGAACATAAAATAAAAACTAAAAGGGAAGAGCAAAACAAAACAACCCAGCCTACTGGCTTCCATGACCACAAATCCTCTTATTTATTTCCTACATCCTAAGTACATGGCACATAAAATAATCACCACTAACACTTACCTGTGTAATACATAACACTTATGCCAGCCATGATGCTCAGTAGTATGCAATACCTCCCTTATTATTCATAACATAAGATATCCAGAGTATTACTGTTTTCTTTGGAAGGTGAGGAAAAAGATGCAGAGATTACTCAACTTGCTAAAGGTAGACACTTAGTAAACATGAGGTCCAAGAGTCTGCAACCACCTCAGTTCACAACATTTATTCAACAAAAATTTCACCCGAGATTTATACCCTAGGCATTTTCTTAAAGAGCAAGCAATACGGTAAAATCGCCTACTCTCATGAAGCCTACATCCCACTGGGCAACATGAAAATTTTCTATCTACACAAACTCCATCTACATTCAAAAAGAACAGCTACAAAAATGAAATTATTTGTATTTAAAAATAATTCCAAAATATATGCTTGCACTTTTCTATGTTGTAATCTTTAAAGATAAGGATATCGTTGACTTAACAAAAACTACCATTGATTGGAAACAAAAACTGACGACTGTACCAGTTATATATGCTCACAATTTCTACTGTGAGAAGGGTTAGTGTTATCCTCACGAATCCAATGACAAAACCATGGTTCTAAGAAAAGGTTTAATTATCTCCGAAAGTCAAGTAACAAAAACAATCAGAGTTCAAATCGATGGCTGGATCAAGAAGGAAAGAACATGAATGTGCTACTAAAACATATAGTAAGCACATCCCATGACTTGCTATTTTACTGTCCCTTTATGAATACCAATATTCCTCCCCACCCCCAACAATCCTATCACTTTCTACAACCAGTTTTAAGTCTTTGTTTTCCCTGGGGCGCCTGGATGGCTCAG